AGTGAAAGAAAATCCCAAATTTGGGGTTGTCGTCAGAACAGAAATAAAGGGAAAATCTTCCAATGGGGACACTAGTTGTGGTGAACACCAGGAATTTCCTCACTTCCTGTGGTGGCTATTGGACAGGAAGTGAAGGAAAATCTCCCCAATGGCCAAACAAAAAAAGCCAACAGGGGTTTACTCTATTCTGGCTTCAGTTCTACTTTAAATACTAATTACAATATTAAATGAATGCATTATGTAACTTAAAAACATCTCTAAAATATGGCTACTTTTAGAAACTGGGGGGAATTTATCAAAACTGGAGCAGTTGCCCATAGCAACCAATTAGCTGCCATCTTCAATTTGTTTAGATAAGCGTTGCAAATGAAAGCTGATTGGTTGCAATGGGTAACTGCTCCAGCGTTGATAATTCCCCCCCATTAGTTCTTAGTAAACGTAAATACAACAGACCTGTTTTGGCAGGTTACATCTCCTAAACTGAGCCTGTTAGCATATATAGGGCAAAAAAAAATTATATGCAAACAGCTAAATTATTTGTATTCTGAGGGGGAATTTATCAACACTGGAGCAGACAGAATCTGGAGCAGAGGTGCATGGCAACCAATCAGCTTCTCTCTTTCATTTTTTAAAGCTTACCTGAACAAACTGAACAGAGAAGCTAATTGGTTGCCATGGGCAATTGCTCCAGTTTTGATACATTTCCCCTCCCCCCTCTCTGAGATTTGCACAGCCATGCCAGAAAGTAAAACCCTGCATGGAAGGGCAAAATACCCTATTTTGTTTCTTTGCTACAGTTGGGTAACACTTACAGGTCTTTTCCCTCCCCTAGTTTGTGACTGGACAGAACGAAAAAGCCGACGACTGATAAGCTAATTTCTCTGTCACTCTCCTCTCCACATGTCAGCATGTCCCTGCTTACTGCATGAGCACAACTAACTGGCTCTTTTGTACTGCTTCTCTCTTCCCTAGTGCTGAGCTCTGCTTTACAGGAGCTGAAAGGTTCACACTTCAAATGCATGTAGTGCTTGCATTAAAAAAAAAAAATACATGTAATGATGTCTGTGAAGGTTCTCATTCATCCAGGTCATGGTATATCTGTAAAAAATAATTCAAGGCAACTGGACTTGCTTGAACGCCTTCAAGAAAAATACAGCAAGTCCAGCTGCCTTGACATTTTTTAAAGATACATGTAACGATGTATTAATAATCAAAGTGCTGCATTACTTTGTCTGGAGTTCAGCTTTTAAACCCGTCAAGATTTTTTATTCATTTCCTTTGCTGTGTCCCATTGGAGAGATTTTCTACCTCCTGTGTCACGACACATCACCCAGTGACAACTCAAACATTTACCAGGTCACCAGGACAGAGGGTGAATCTGCCTTTAGACACACCTTGGGCTATATTCACACTAGCCTCCCGAGTTTGGTTTATTTCAACGTAGAAGAAATGATCTGGGAAGTGTAAACAAACCTTATGTTTTCCAGAACCAGTAATCCTGTGTTTAAATGTACCTGCATTTGTATGCATTCCTACATGTTAGAGTTTCCAATCTGCCCCTGGATGCACAGAATTTATTTTCTCCCAAAAAAAAGCTAAACTGTATTCACCTAACTGCAGGAAAAGGCACAGTGTGAACTATACAATTTAAAATCATTACATGCATTTATATGCCTTTAGAAATGTGCTAAAACGCATGTTTGTCACTGCATATGTGAATGAGGTCTAAAGCTGCATTCACACATTCTGGGATTCTTGCCGCAGGGATCCCAGGAGTTCCCATTCAGATGCAGTCAGTGTACACATTGAAGTTAATGACAGGGTGACAGCGGTTGCATCTCTTAGCAGCAGTCTGCGTGTAATTTTAAATGGTACGGTTAGGTATGGGTGATTGTCGCTGGATGCATCTATCCTGCATCCAGGAACAATCATTAACCCAAACCGTATGCAATTGTGTCATGTATGATTACATGGGGACTACCGAGGCCTAAAGCTGACAGATGCAGCACCCCGTTATTAAAGCGTTCCTTTAGGGCCTGTTCACATGAGATCAGGTCCTGATCAGCAGATGTGGAGCTGCTGATGCATTGCGTTTTTGGCCGCGTTTTTGATGTGTTCCAGCAAAAAAAAAATTTTTTTTTTTTTTTTGCTGGAGTGGGGCTGTTAGTATGTTAGCTGCAGCGCAGTGCGTTTTTGACGCGTTTGCGTATCCGGACCTGACAAAATGTGACATGCAGTATTTTTTCTGTCGTAAGCTGAACGGACTGCGCACGTGAGAACTGGGGCCCATAAAACACATAGGGATACATTGGGATGCATTTTGAGTGCAGCAGCGTACGGAGCCAGTCAGCACACAAAACGGATGTCGTGTGAACAGGGCCTTACACTCAAAAATCAAATTCTACCAATGCATCCCTCTATGTATGATGATTGATAATACCATAGACATGTCAGGTGTAAAATAATACTTACACTTGCAGAGCATTAATTTTCTGCTTTGAAAGTGCAAAATGACTTCCGTTTGCCAAAGCAATGCACACTGGGATTGCCTTGTGATCAGCAGAGTATTGCTGATGACAAAGCAGATCTCAGGGAAAGGCATTTTCCTCCGCTGAGATTATGTGCATGGTCACATGTCCTAGTCACGTGCCAGAAATTAGGAAGTAAAAGGAGAGCTAGTAATCTGCCCTTAGTTAACATGGCCACTGTCAGAAGACTAGGGGAAGAACAGAGAAATAAGGAATGCATAGAATACGAAGACAGCAATTATCTAGAAGTATCTCTTTGTAGATTGTCATTACTAAACATTTCTAAAAGTTGTGTTTGTTGTTATTTTAAAGGTCTGTTTAAAGTCAATGGGTACAGCAGCTGCATCTGAACGGGAACAGTGGGTGGACCTCGGGCAGGACTCAGTGTCACGGACACATTTTCAATTAAAGTGACATTAAACCCTCAGATTTTTTAACATAAAACAACACTGTAATGTGTGCCTTACTGTAATCCATGGTTGTTTCCCTTCTCTTTGCTTCTCTTCCTTTTAAATCTGTATCTGTTCTCATGCTGGGCAGAACTTCTGTTTTGTAGCAGACTGCCTTGTCTCGGAAATGGATACATGGTGTCTGTGTGTAGGTTCACAACCTGAGCCAGCACTACAGGAAGAGGCACTCAGCTGCAAATGGAAGTTCTCCCCAAGCATGAGAAGAGATAGATTTAAAAAGGAAGAGCAGCAAAGAGAAGGGAAACAACCATGGATTACAGTAAGGCACACATTACAGTATTGTTTTATGTTAAAAAATCTGAGGTTTTAATGTCACTTTAACTGATTCAGTGTAGAACGTAGTGCGGCCGGATTCTTCCTTTACTATGCACATATGCAAAGGGAACACCTGGGATTCCTGCCGCAGGAATCCCAGAATGTAGCAAAGTCCTCGTGTGAATGGGGCCTTAGATGTTGCCCAGAGAATAGAAATTTGGAAGCAGGAAGGTTTTTTTTTTTATTATTGCAGAGGAGACATACTGTAGGGCATATTTATAAAGCAGTAAATCTGACATTTACCAAAGATTCAGGGCAGATGCATGCGTTTTACATGACAGCAATTGATTCACTTCCAGTGAATATTTGACAAAAGTCCCATTCACTACTTTATAAATACATCCCTATTTTTCTTCTGCAATAAAAGCTTCTAACCTTCCTGTTTGCAGAGTTTCTATAGAATGTACACAGTGATGTGCATGCGAAGCTCACCACTATGAGCTAAGTAAAAGCATCCCAGGCCAGCCAATCAAGATGACCGAAGATGGTGAACCCAGAAGAAGCCCAAGGGAGGTGGTCAGCACCGGTGAGGAAGACTATTTGCAGGTTTTAGTTCCACTTTAAGCAAAAGTAAAGTCTGATGATACAAAACCTCCAGGCAGTTATGAAACTTAGCTACGAAATAAAGACAAGGTGAATATGTACTGCTTGGGGGTTAAAGCGAACCTGATACCTCACCCAACATGAGCCAAGCATAGGTTCAGTATAAGAGATGGAGTCTGTCCTATATACCAATACAAAGAAATATTCGTACGTAGTACGATCATACAAAACGACGACCACATCTAAACAGTGCCCAGTCTTTGCCGGAGCTGTGATTGAGTCATCCCCGGCCGTGCACACTCTCCACCCTTCTTACCAGACCGCGATAGGCAATTCAAGCCACACGAATAACAAAGCAGCTCACCACTATTCTGTTTTCCTTGGCGCTCGTGTATCCGGAACAGCCACCACCGAGACCGGAAATCACGAGCCTCCCCTCAGTCCACCACAGCGCCCCCAGTGGATAGGAGGAGGCACCATACGGTGTTTTTTATTAAGTGGGATCGAGTGGCATAGTTTATTTCATATGTGTAAATAGTAAAATACTTTGTTAATGGATATCAATCCAAGCGCCATTTAGTATCAGCCTAGTGCTTATGTAATGTACTCTTTACACCATATTCACTTGGCGTCTTTCACAATTATTGGTCACCTACCCATAGCAACGACATAGATGCGACGCTTATAGGCAAAGCTCCCCCTGACATGGTTTAAGCAGGGGATTTCAGTTAGCATTAGGCCTTTGCACGTTTTGAGGAACTACGGCTCCATGCAAGCTCTCAGTGTTATTAGCCAGAATGAGATAGAGGATAAAACTACAACTCCCATAAGCCATTGCTGCGCGTGTATGCTCAGTTTATGGGAGGGGACTGACTGTTTGAGCACTGAGTGGGAGGAGACTGAAATGCGTGCCGAGAGTACGACTGGACTGTCCGTGCGCGCGCTATGAGTGGGAGGGAATTGTACGTGCACGCGCAGAGTGAGTGTGGCTTGATCGTGCACGCGCACCGAATGGGAGGGGACTGCCTGTCCGAGCAGCGAGTGGGAGGAGACTGGCTGTGCGTGCCAATAGTGCGAATGGAAGGTCCGTGAGTGGGCGGGCACTGTCTGTGCGCGCGCCGTTAGTGGGAGGGGACTGGCCGTGCGCGTGCCATAAGTGGGAGGGGATAGCTTGCAGCGTGCATGACCCTAGCCTGTTATCCGCACAGCGTCCTGTCACCGAATCAGAGCCCGGATACAGGTACTGTGTGGGTGTCACTCAACTGTCCTGAGCAGTGTTGGGGGGGAGGGTACATAGTGCCCCCCGTTTGTCCTCTTACCCTTGAAGTTGTAATAATAGGTAACACAGCCGTGTGCCCAGTCAGGGTCATTGAAGGGTGTATGGCTGAGTGTTTTGTGCACATTCATTCTTCTCACACGTGTTTTCCAGGGTTCTGGTCAGACAGATTTTCTGCTAGTTCTATGGGATAGGAAACTTTCCTGCTGTTAGCATATTGGGATAACAGCTAGTTTATATTTCGTACACGTTCCCATTCACAGAGCGTAAGTGTAAAACAAATATTTAAGAATTGCAGCTCCGCTTTTTACTTGCTGAAGATCTTATTTGGCTTTCTCCCTCTATGTAACGTTAAAGCCTTTCTCCGGGACAGAGATTTCCCCCTTTTTAACAAAAGCCATGGTCACGTGACCCTGCTTTCCCAATCTCCTTTTCTGTTTACCTCCTGTTGGGGTCCTTCTTTGGGTGCCCATGTCACTGCCTGCAGGGTCCTATCAGGATCCAGAAGAGGAGTAATGTCACTGTGAGGAGGCTGTTAAGGACTGGTCGGCGAGGGATCATCTGTGGCATTGGATCAGTGGTCACCCGTGCCCATAGACAGTGTTGGTGAGGGACTTAGGTGAGTATAATTTGCTACACCAGGTAAGGACAAAGGGACATTGTAGGATAGTTTTGTGAGCTACAATCTGCTCACAAAAACGCACTATTTGATTAATGTGCAAAAATGCACAAAAAGCGCTATTGCCTAGGTGTGAACCCAGCCTAACTGAAGAACCTGAAAAGAGTAGCGGATTGGTTGCCATAGACAATTGCTCCAGAATCTGTCTGCTCCAGTTTTTATGAATTTCACTCATTGTCAGAAGTTTTCACCTTTCATTCTTCTACTACAAATGTTTGTATTGCTGTTGTCACATTTCCTGTTCTGAAAGTGATAGGAAGTCATTGGAAAATCACCCCAGTAGGGACACAGATGTCCATAGAAATGTTGACAGGGGATCTAACTCTTCTCTGCTGTATGTAAATCTAAAGGAAATGTTTTGGTTATTGTTTTTTTAAAGATTCCAGTTTGAGGAAAACGTAAGGACTGCCTAAAGGAGAACCATGGGGTCAGTGCTTTTCCCCATAGTTCTCCTAAGGCCTTGTTCACACCAAGCGCGGAGCAGATCCAGACCAGAGCAGGTGCAGACCGGCTCAAAACTGCGTCCAATATATTCCTATGGTATTTTGACCTCCAGTTCACATCGCAGCGTGCGGATCCAGACCGGATCCAGACCGGATGAAAAAAATGCGGCAAGCCCTATTTTATCTGGTCTGGAACGCATAAAAAACGCATCTAAAACGCATGCAAGTGCCTGAAAGCCCATGTTAAACTTTAAAAAAAAAATGTTTTAACCAAAACCGGCCCTAAACGCATCCAAAACGCGGCACAACCCACTACACTGCGTGTGCAGAAACCTGACCGGATCTGGTCTGCATTTGGTATGAACAAGGCCTAGGGTAACGGGAGGACACAAACTAGCGTCCTCCCGTTACCCAGCGCTCAGTATACTGCGAGCTACAGCTTGCGGTATACTGAGACGCCGCAGCCGGAACAAATCCCGACAATTCTGTCTGGATCCACCCAGCTGCGTGAGTGACAGCTGGCTCTGCCTATCTAGAGGCAGAGCTGGCTGTACCCTCCCCCGTCCGTTCCGCCAGTCAGCGCTGGAGGATCCGATGGGAGGGGGGGATCTTTGCAGGGAGCCGTGAGTGACAGTCACGGCTCTCTGCATGGATAGATCGAGAAGTGAGCGAGCGACGGTATGTGTTCGCTCACTTTCCGATCTAGTGAGCCGACCTGTGACAGTCTCATTGTCACAGGTCGGCTCAGATTATGAGGCTGAGTGAAAATCACTCGCCTCATAATTCTCCTTGCAATGAAGTGCAATGACCCAGGCAATGAGTCAGTTTGTCTTGGATGGAAAAAACTTTGACCGTGCTATTTATGACTTCTTTTTCCTTTTACAGCTGTATGCAGCACACACCCTTCTTTCAGTGAGCCAGATTTCCAGAGCAGTTTAAATAAACCCAATGAATATACATCACACTTTCTGTGGAACCGTTCGTTACCCTGTACAATATAAAGCATATTCCCCTGAATTCAGCCATCTTGCCTGCTGCAAGGAAACATTACAAACCTAGAACGAGTTTTCTCAAATTTAACTGCACAGGTTGAAATACACTTTTAAGTTTGAGTGGGAAAGGATGAGATTCCCAGTTCTTTTATTCAATTTTTCTCTGTGCCCCCGCTTTTTAGATTCACCCACTCTCTATTTGTCCTGGTGATAGGAAATGCAAAATGTTATAGTTATCCACACATGTTTTTTTTATCGGTTATCACTCCTGCAAAGTTGGGGCTCTGCTCGAGGAATTATTCAGTATTTAGCTCCTGTCCAATCATAGCTTTATTACAACTATATAACCGGCTATTATTTTTTAAGTGGCACCGCAACTATTGGATACCATTTAGGAGCCAGGCACACCTTTTCTTCCCACATTCCAGTACTTTTTTCTTTATATCATTTGTTTGATGTTATGTTTCATATGCATATTTGGTTATGTTTTTGCTTATTGAATATGAATCAACCACTCTTTTCGTGTTGATGATACGTGGAGTAGATTCTTTAGGTCATGTGAAGTCATGTCAAAGACACAAATTCTTACAGGGTTATTCACAAAAGAGTGAAGAGTTTGGAGAAGGCAGGAGAAGTGCACAATCTAGGCCAACATAGCTGAACTGGAAAGTGAGCTGAATTGGAGAATATTTCCAAATCGGTTATTTTGGCCTAGATTGTTCACTTCTCCAAAACCTTCACCCGTTTGTGAATAACCCTGTCCATCTGTTGGTTGGGGTACACCTGTCATGAGAGAAATGTTGGGTTTCCATTGCAGACTACCTTTTGGAAAATGCTTTGTGTCCAGCTGTTGTGTCGTGTTTCAGTACCTTGAGTCAGTGACCCAGAATTAGAATGCATGTCGGCAAAAAGACAGAAGTCCTTATCTGTATACTTCCTTCAGGCCACTAACTCATAGTATTGAAACCATAGGAGTCGGCACAACAGCCAGGTGACTTGTATGTTAAGGATGGTTTACAATGGCACCCCTTTTTCTTGTTTCTTTTAAGGTTCCAAAGATTATAAAATGATGGTCAAAACATTCACCCACTAAATCATCCATTAGAACAATTGTGACATAAATATGTGTTGTTTTGTTGGCTGAGAGTACATTTGTATACAATGAGTAGACACCTTTTTGGTTCCAGTTTTCAGAGTACAGTCCTGGTCAGCCAATAAAATTTAGACTCCGAAGATCAAAGTGACATTAAAATCGGGAAGTACACCCGAGTTTACACCCGGAAGTAAATCTTAAAAATGCATTCAGGTACCTTTTTAACTATTAAATAAATTGTAGTTTATTTTTGTGTCACTCGGCTGTAGATCCTCCAATCATCTCTGAATTGGTGCTGACACTGTCTTTCCTTCTGGAGGGTGGCTACTTTTCTTCCCCATGGTCCCTGTGTGTGCTATAAAGTAGTCACCGCTCCAAGCTCACTCCTGTGATGGACTACTTTACAAAACACATGAGGAACAAAAGTAGTCACCCTCCAGAAAGTACAGTGTCAGCACCAATTCAGAGATGATTTGAGGACCTACAGCTGAGTGATACACAAATAAGAAACATTTTTGTTATTAGTTAATGTTCTTGAATGTATTTTTAGGGTTTAACTCCTGAGTTTAGTGTCACTTTAATTCTACAGGTTGTAGTGTGCCCAGAAATATGACTGCCATCTGATCTAACCATGATTAGCCAGGTCAGCTGATAGTCCAGTCATGCCTCTGGTTATTGTAGTTTTTTTGTTTTTTTTCTAATGTAGACATTATGCATGAAATAATATTGACGTTTTATTTTCTTCTTCAGGCATTGGCAATCACATCTACTCCAGTATGGTGACCACAAGTATAGCATGTTTTTGATGGCACTCTGAAGGTTCTTGTCTGTTTATCATTTTAGCTTGCCATATCTGTCCAGATAAGGTACAGTACACAATTTCTCATCTATCCTTATTTCAGATGCATTTGGTGTACAACTGAGAGTTCAAATAACATACATGTACCACATTGGGCCTGAAACTCTAAACTTTCTTTTTTTTGCATGCAATAATTTACTTGTACTGTGTGCTTATTTACTGTTCATTTATTTTGCTAAGTGTAGAATGTGTTTAGGGCTGCAACAACTAATCGACATAATCGATTATTGAAAAAGTTGTCAACTTTTTCAATAATCCATTAATCGGCTTCCGATCAGTTGGCCCAGTTCACAGCTCCACACGCTGTGCGCCGCACCTCCTCCCCACTTCCCGCTCGCCGCTGCCAGACCTGCTCGCATTCACGCTCCACATGCCGCACCTCCTCCCCTCCTCACATTTCCTGCCCATCCACATCCACGATCGGCAAGGGACGCGGGGAGATGTAGTAAGGAGGAGCAGGTGTGGGGGGATGACAGCCGCTGATAGACGGGTCCAATCTCAGAAGCAAGTTGCTGGAAGACTGCTCAGGTAAGCCTGCACTTTCCCACACATGGTGCTCTATAATGTATTGCTGGGATTTGTATTTCTCTATAGCTGATGGTACATTGTGCTGTATA